ACATATAGGTTGCAATATTACGACATATTGGTTGTAATATTACAACTTGTTAAAAACAATTACGGCAGGCAACTCTACTATATATCCAAAACTAGCTATACTAAGAAAACAAACTCATACAGGGAGATCCCAAAAATTCCGGGTCGGATGCATTGGGAATCTTGTCGAATGGGCCGGAGTTGAGAACTTACTATTGAAACAATAGTCGTTCATTAAGCAAAAAATGCCCAGCTGATAATTTTACTATAGCTCCCACTAACCCTAACCCAACCCAGGCCCTAAACCCCGATGCATTCCCTGTAAAAAATGTTTAATGTTTTGTTTAATGTTTAACCCTCCTTGACTCTAATTCTAACTTCTAGCTCTAATCAATAGTAAATTATTATAAAAATATGTGATTTGTATGCTATTTAACTTGAATGTATTTGCTTTAATAGTTTGCTTCATAAGATTTTTGAAATACGTACAATACATACTGTATAACATCTGATAAATAACTCAATTTACGCATTATACGTAATATTTAAGTTTACACAAAGTATGCTCAAAGTAAAAATATAGGTCACATGCGTTATATACATAATTTAAAAGGTATTTTGGAAGAAAAATACTTTCCAAATATATCACGCGCATTAATATAAAAATAGGAATTTTATCATGCCATTTTTTTTCTCACACTGACACACTTTTTCGTAGCGATCATGGATTTTACAAATGTAAATTGCAATAATGGAGAGATATTCATGTTTCAGTCTTCAAGTCCACCAAAATTGGCACAGCCAACTCCTCCTCCACCAAGTGTAATTCATAAGGCAAGGTACAAGCGTAACAGTATATCCAAGAATCCTGAAGAAGCTAGACAAAAACGTATTGAGCTTGACGCTCAAGTTCGAAGGAAACATCGTGAGCAGCTTATTACTGCTAAGCGAATCAAGCATAATTTGGATGATTTCAAAGACGATGATGCTGGTATTGATATCGCGAATACTTTTTCCTAAGTTACAAATCCTGTTTCAAAGTTTTTTGGCGGGTTCACGTGTTAAAGAACTTTACACATTGCAGAATCCGAATTTGATTTGACTCATCACGATATTGAAAAGTTGAAATCTGGCTTAAATGTCAGTACGACTATTTTTACATTATACAGTAGTTCGTTGGTAAAAAGAATGACAGTCCTTGATCACGTGACCACCAATTAACAGGATTCGGATCGTGACTCACGCCTTTCTAGTCTTAAAGACTTGAGCACGTACCTTGCGGATCCTCCAGACACTTTGAAGCATTTCGTTATAAACGATAACTGTATCGATATTTTGATAGTGCGTTTTTATTTACTTTTTCACTCAGCTGTTTAAGTGACAACCTTACTTAATAAATATATGTGCATATTATATTTATTAGAAATTCTTATCGGGAGTTGATCCCGAGGAACAGTTACAAGCAACTTGGTGCATCACAAGTAGGTATTTTCTATATGCATAAACCTGTATTCATTAATATTCGATTAATCGATATATCATATTCCTTTAAAATAATCATTGAAAGATATTGTTGCGGGTCCTAAGGAATTTTGCAAGAAAGCTTTTGCAGCAATTCCACACTTAATTAACTTTCTTCGTGGCGGAAATACTGTAAGCCATTATTGGTTAACCTTTTAGTTTTATAATCTGTCCTAAACTACAAATGTTTTTAACTCTCCTTATTCAAGTCATTACAAGATCAAGCTGCTTGGGCAATTGGCAATCTCGCAGCGGAAGGTCCTGAATGTCGAGATATACTTCGTGCAAATGGAGTTTTGGTTCCCTTGATTGAGCTACTTAATTCTAAGGTATTATCCATTAAAAATAAATATCAAGGTATATGTAAATAAGTTTCTAATATTTCAATAACTAATAAAATGCGAATTATTTGATTTATTAAACTAGAACGTGTCTCTTGTTCAAACGATATGTTTTGCACTTTCCAATCTCGCTCGTGGCTCAAATGCAAATTTGGATGAGTTTTTTTCTGCGGGCATAACTAAACATCTTTTGTTTTATCTAGGAACTGATGAAGTGTGTAATAATTTTATATTTTATATGTTTTATGCCTATTTAATTTTAACCTTTTTTAGGATTAACAGATGAATGAAGTTGTTTCTGAGATTTCTTGGGTATTGACATACTTGACCAGCTCAGAAGATGACAAATACACGCAAATATTATTGAAAGATGGAATCGTACCACCCCTAGTACGTTATTTGCAATAAGCATGCAAAATGTTTTCGTATGAACTTGTGGTAAATTTGAAACTAACCTATAAAAAATTATTTTTTCTAATTGATAATTAGGTAAAGCATTTGCGACCTTTTAACCATGGACCTCTAGCACTACCATTGATTCGTACATTTGGTAACATTGCCAGCGGTCCAGATGACAACACTGATATTTTGATTCAACAACCTGATTTTTTGCCTGCTATGCTCGAATACATTCAAAGTGATTGCAGGTCATTATTATTATTATTATTATTATTATTTAATAGAAATGTTTAAATTATCTAAAACAATTACTATGCACACAATACATTTATTATAGACCCGTTAAAAAGGAAAGCTTATGGGTCATGTCTAATATTACGGCAACGTAAGTTAAAATAAGATTTTTTTTAAAAAAAAAAATAAAAAAATTCATGCCTCATGATTTTATATAATATAGTCGTCGTCCAGAAGTCTTGATAAAAGTGTTTAATGCTGGATTTATTCCGATTCTCTCAAGTATTGCGACGCATACCAATTTTGACATTCGTAAGGAGGTTTGTTTGTCTATTTTACTAGTCATTTGCAAATTAACATTTGTGTCCAATAATTTAATTTATATGATTTATAGGCCGCATACAGTTTGCTAAATATTGCTTCGCATGGTGAAGAATATATGCGATCTTTACCTCATCAGGATCTTTTACCAGGTAAAAAATGATCTTTATAATATGCCAATTACTTTTCGGTTACATTAATTAACAACTTTGAATAAATAGGTTTCTTGGAATTCATTCGTTCTCAAGATATTGATCTGAAACGTTTGGGATTAGGATATGTTGAATTGCTATTAACTCAAGTGCAAAATGTAAGAATCCTCTTGTCCTTCATTAATCTTTTATTCCGTTGTTTCACATGCATATTTAAAATATTGTTTTTAGGGCCAACAACTTCTTGAGCAAATGCAGGGTATCGATGCTTTGGAGTCCGTTACGTTGTTAGAGGATCAGTCACTACGTGACACGTCTACTCGCCTAATGGATAAATATTTTGGTGAAGACTTTCATTCCAGCATCAACGAAATTCAACTAACTGAATAGATAGGCGGCATAGTAATATTGCATAAACAATGTTGATTTAATGTACAGAGTTTAAATCCATTCTTATAACTTTAGGATATTATAAATGTTTTTATATGAATTAGGATTATAAAGTCAGACTTTTTAAATAAGATAATCTCTATTTTTTTTTATAATGCAATTGCAATTTGATGAATGTCAAGAATTATTTATTTTTTCCTTTGCAAACAACTATCAGAAAAAAAGAAATGTAAATAATACATATATATCACTAGGTTTATATTATATAACAATAATAATAAAATTCACAATAAAAGCCAAACAGATTAAATGTTTATATTATTATAGGATAGAATCGTTGAAAATACAAAATGCTAATATTATAATTACTTTTATCTATTAAGATTTAGAAGCTAGCTTTTCACAAAAAACGTATTCTAATTTCTTTACTCTGGATACTCTGGAGCGTTAGAAAATAGAAATGATACTGATTCTCCGTTATGAGTTCGCCGGATAGCTATATGAAAAATATCTTAGATTACAAATAAATAATCAAAGTGATGGATTAAGCAAACACTTTACCTTCAGCTAAAGTAGATGATATATCAATTGTATCAAGTTTCGCGCAAATATTCTTTTTATCTTCGTGCGGTATAGTATTCGTTACCACCAATTTTTCCAAACAAGATTCATTAATAACGTCAATTGCACTTCCTGAAAGAATTCCATGAGCTACAATCGCATATACTTTAATAGCACCATTATCTTTGAGTGTTGCTGCTGCCATCTTTAAAGTTCCACAAGTATCTGCCATGTCATCAACTAGGACGGCTATTTTTCCACTAACATCACCAACTAATACCATACGTGAAACTTCATTGGCTTTTTTGCGTTCCTTATGAATCAATGCGAAATCAAGGTTCAACCGATCTGCAATAGAAGTAGCCCTAGAAAAAAAAAGGAACTAGTCATCAGATGATTATTATAAATCGTATTTATGAAAAGAATACCAAACTAACCTCTTTGCACCTCCAGCGTCCGGTGAAACAATAATAGAATTCTTCCATTCAGGTATATTGCTTTTGATATAATTTAACATTGATGGCTCACAAAATAAATTATCTACTGGTACATTAAAGAATCCTTGAATCTGACTTGCATGTAAATCCATAGTTATAACATGATTAGCACCAGCTACGGTTATCATATTTGCAACTAATTTAGCAGAAATTGGAGCTCGTGATTTATCTTTTTTATCCTGTCTTGCATATGGAAAACATGGAATTACAGCGGTTATTCTTCTTGCAGAAGCAGTTTTACAAGCATTGATCATGATCAAGAGTTCCATTATATTATCGTTTATTTCACCACAACCGGATTGGATAATGAATACATCTTCGTCACGAACGGATTCTCCGATAGTAACAGAAGTTTCTTGATTAGAATATTTTAAGACCATTACTCTCGAAAGCTCAATACCTATTCGTCTTAATACTGACTGATTAGACGGGAATAAATTCAAAAGACAAAAACATATATATTGTTATCCTTACTTAGCCACGAGTTTCGCAAGCTCAATGTGAGAATTACCCGCAAAAATTTTTATTGAATTTGTCGCCATGTTTACTCTAACGTTATAGAAAGATCCAAGGTTGAAAAGCAATGTTAATTAAAAAGTTTAAACTGATTGTGTGATTATCTTCAATCAAAATCATGGTGTGAAAACATGGTAATACAATACAAAAGTAGTAAATTTTAATAATAAAAGAAAATAAAATTTCAAATTTTATCCCATTTTGGAATTTGATTTATTTGTTAAGTTTATTTTTTAAGTTTTACAATATATAATGGTCGATCGCGATCCAATCAAACTTTTCTAGGTAACACGTTTGTAATTTCATTCAGATCTTTGATCCTGTTTTTTTTTTTTACTAAGCTGATTTTCTTATTAGAACTTGAATAAAGTACAAATACGGTCAAACCTCCATATAGTCATTCCTTTAGGTACGTACGGAAATTAATGATTATGTAGAAGTGTGATTTTTATAAAGTGTTTACATCTATAAAAATATATAACTCATTTAATTTTGCAAATTTATTAAATTTATTAAGTGGCAATAGAAATCAGACAGATTGACATTTTATACCTCAACTCAGCTCATATCTCGATAAATTTTGAAGCTATTTTGATGATTCAATATTCGAAAGAATGCTTAGAAACTTAGTCTACTTAATCTTTCTTTTGAATATTAAATCATCAAACTAGCTTCAAAATTCATAGAAATATGGGCTGTGAAAGTTTGAAGTATGGAGTTTTTTTTAAAAAGGATTTGGCAGGCCAATTATTGTTTTTTGTCAAAATGCTATTGTAAAACAATATAAAAAGTTCGTGTAACGAACTTCCACTATGCTACGGTTAAGAGGTGCATTACGTATGGTTACGTAAAAAGATGACAATACATGCCGTAATAGCTGATATTTGTCTGGAGTGTCTAGCATTAGCACTAGCGATATCACGAAAATAACCAAACTAAATTGAATTAAAATAAAAACAACTTGATCATGTAGTTGTCGTAATATCACTAGTGCTATTTTAGATGCTAGAAATAGCAGGACATTGGCTAAATGGCTGGCTTGATTGGCTTAAAAAGCTAATCTAAACATGTTAATATTAAGTGACAAATTTGTTGGTCGCAAATGATAATTTGATTCTTTAATCTTTTAAACTAGTTTAAAATTTTAGTTCATACAAAACTGGTTAGATGTACGTTAAATATACATTATTTTAAGGCACTTATTTTAATGCCGTTCTTCCAATTCTTCCAATTAGAGTTGTGACCCAAATTTTTGGGATTGTAAAATTCCAATTAGTATTTACTAGGCTTCACGTGCTTGACAGTATGAATTGAGACATTTTTGTCTGGCATATAATTTAAGTCTTTTTAATTTACCGCCTTAGCGATGTATCGCTGGGTCTATGTCAAAATATGAAAGGTCAAAATCCCGAAAGTCAAGACCCTGAATAGTTGTGTCGTGTGATGTCGGAGTTCCAATATTCAAAACTTACGTAATAACTTACTAATCATAAGCGGATTCGAATATTGGATCCCAGACATCACACGACGCGACAATGAGGTAGCTATGGCGGTAAATTACAAAATTCTATAATTTATATTATGGCTATAAATCCAAATTTTACATATAAGTCGGAACTTATCCCAAATAAGAATGTTTAAAAGCCTGGCAGCTTGGTGAATCAGCTAATATTAAATTAGGGTTAGGGCTAGTAATAATTGTATATCTTGCTATTTTGTTAGGCTTATTTAGATAATTGAACTACAGTGAAACCTCTCTAAACGCACGCCCTTGGGACCGGAATATAGTGTGCACTTAGGGAGTCATAGGCCGACATTCGTATGATTGGCTGATGTAAATCAATTGCCCGGGTAATGCCCGGGTAACTTATTGATACAGTTTAAAGTACTTTTTACGTTTCACTAATAAAAAATCACCATAAAGACCATTTCTAGCTTCGCACGTTGCCGATCGTAGATCGTCAACTAACTGACGATCGTGTGGCACGATCCTATCGAAAGTTTTTCAAAACTTCTAGCGATGATTACTCAAAAGCTACTTGATCAAATTCAGTAAAACATTTTTTATTTCAATTCAATAGATTTGTAAAATTAAAATAAGAGAGATCATTAATTTGGTTCAGTGGTTATCGAGAAACCATCGATAAAAGTAAAAAAAAAAACCTTAAAATATCTTGGAAAACAAATCGGTATATTTTTTCTTGTTTGAGCTTTAAACAAACATTTCTCGACAACCAACTAGCAGAATTTGACGAAAATATTTTTATTTTAATTCTACGAGTTATTAGAATTAGAATAAAAAAATTTTGATCAAATTTGGATAGCAGGTTGTCGAGGAATATTCATTAAAATTAAAAAAAATTGGCCGCAGCTTCTTTTTTTAAGAGTCTAAACTTTGAACGAAGATTATTTGTCACTTACCTAATCAAATTTGGTCAATTTTTTTTTATTTGAATTCTATAAGTTCATATAAATAATTAAAATATAAAAAAATTGATTGAATTTGACCATGTAAGTGCTGAGTAATCTTCGTTCAAAGTTTAGATAATTTAAAAAAAGAAGCTGCGGCTAATTTTTTTTAATTTTAATGAATATTCCTCGACAAAATTCGACCAAAATTCTTTTATTCGAATTCTAATAACTCGTAGAATTAAAATAAAAACATTTTCGTCAAACTCTGCTAGTTGGTTGTCGAGAAATGTTTGTTTAAAGCTCAAACAAGAAAAAAATTTACCCATTTGTTTTCCAAGATATTTTAAAATTTTTTAACTTTTATCGATGATTTCTCAATAACTACTGAACCAAATTCAATGATCTCTTTCTTATTTTAATTTTATAAATCTATTGAATTGAAATAAAAAATGTTTTACTGAATTTGATCAAGTAGCTATTGAGTAATCATCGCTAGAAGTTTTGAAAAACTTTCGAATTTATTAATAGGATCTGCGCCACATGATTGTCAGTTAGTTGACGTTCTACGATCGGCAGCATGCTTAACCTGGCACACATTTCATATGTGCCTTCGCAAGAATGCTTATATTTATTGTACAAAATAATCAAAAAATAATCAACATTCTCAAGAACTTCACTTAGAAGC